GCAGTATGTAAAAAAGTGGATGTGGAACCGATGTGAATCTGCAATATGTATATGGGGTAAAAATGGGAGTTCATAATCTGCTTGAATCAAATGTATGAAATATGATATGTCAAGAGCTTTGTAATATTTTGAACAACTAATAATAAAAAATAAAATAAAAAGAATAATTGCATAGATTTGTCTGCACACCAAAATAATTCCCTCTGTGTCTCTGTTTGGGCAGAGCATKAAAGGTACTGGGTGGAGTGCGCAGGGAGCAGCATGAAAGGCCACCACTTTTCTGTGGCATCTCAGAATACTTGATTGACTCTACTTGGCCTTCAAAAGAAGATCTCCAGAAAACTCGACTTGAAAGAACCAGATTGGCCTCCGCTCTGCTCAGGCCACTTTGGGTTCTGTGTGAGTGGCGGGCAGAAGGAGGGGCAGCCTCAGAGGGTATGTGGGAGGCTCAGTGAGACTTTCAGGGGCCCAAGATCTCCAAGCAGGAAGCAGGCCTAAGACCAGCCTCTGGGAGGGCATAGTGATCGACTTGTTTCCATCTGTGAAAGGCAGTCTAGGGAGGAATAGATTCCCATTCTGAGTTCCAAAGTAAAAAGATGCTTAATGCCATAGAGTTTCATTAAAAAAAAAAAAATCAAATGCAACCCATAGAAAAGGCAAACTGGGGCTAGTGGCAGCAGAACTCACAACAGTGCCACAGGGACATGCTGTGTACCAGCTCTACAGAGCAATGGTGGCTTCTAGTAACTCCCAGCTGAAACCCCGCCCCCTGGCCCTCCATTCTAGTCAACCCCACTTTTGCTCTCTACCTATTTAGCTGCTCATCAACTAATTCTCTCCAATCCCACTCATCTTTATTCTACCAGGTTTATATAGAGAGAGGTAAATGTATCTATTGACGATTCTCAGCAGTTCCAGATGCTCCCATGTGAAAATATCTTGTTTCTAGGAAGCTCTCATTGATGACTAGCATTGTCTGTGCATGTAGTCATGGTGACATATCATCAATTTTTATCATAAAATTTTTTATTCAGATTAGCCCTGCCTGCACAGTTATAAATACACTTGATAGTGGATTTTTAATCAATGAAATTAAAATGACCTCATAGGCCTTATAGATTTTAGTCTTCTCCTAGAAATGTTCTGAAGAAAATAATCTAGACTATGCAATGAAAGGCAACACTCACGTTTCACTGTCTGCCATGTCCAATAGTTCAGAAGGTCCTAGACAAGAAGAAAGCAAGACGCCCATCAAAAATAAGCTGCAAACTAAACATTAACAGAGAAACTATAATCACAGAATTAAAATGCCATAGAAAGGTGAATTTTAAAGGAGTCATTTAGTGATAGGAAGAATAAGACAAAAAGAAAACAAACAAACAAAAAAAGAATTCTTCTACCTCTTGATCACTGATCTCCCAATCAATCCCTTATCCTTCAGCCTGGAGCCCCCTTTCCTACACAAAGTCCCCTAGGACTCCACTGCACATATTGCATCAAACACCCTGCCTATGTGACCTCTCTTTTCACATGCTGACCCTGTGGCTCATACTTGAGCTGGGAAGTACGACTTATCATCTAACTTGGGACCATCCAAGGTCAATGGGGATATGGCATTACTTTACTAAGCACGAGACTTGAGTAAGTATTTTCAAACTACCTACTGATTTGCCTCTCAATCTAGACTCCGGTAAATTTGTGGAAGATTTAGCCAGTGTTTTCCCCATCACTGTGTCCTTCTTAATACCCAACATAGAGTCTGGTGCCACGCTGATGCTTAAATATTTGGCTGAATGAATGAATCAACATGGCAGGAAGTACCAAATGCAGTTTTAGGTACTGGGAATGTTACAATCCTTGGGATTTGTCTTTGTATTGGTGGAGATCATTATTATTGCAAATTAACTTACTTTGCATAATGTAAGAAATTTGGGGGGAAGACATTCTAAGTTTCTAACCATGAATTTGCCAAAGAAATGACTGTGATACCATTGAATTTCTAAGTTCTGTTCATCCCGGAGCTACATCATCTTGACCTCATGGCTTTCACATCTACTCTTCACTGGAGCGAGGTGAATCTGTTTTGTTAAGGAACACTGGGGATGCTACACAGAGCCTCGGGCATGCTAGCTAGGTAAGCACTCTACTGCTGAGCCACATCCCAGCCTCCTCCTGGTTTCTCCCTCCCTCCTTCCCTTACTCCCTCCTCTTTTTACTTTTGGTTCTAGTTGACAAGTAGACTTCCTAACAGGTCTCTGCCTGGAATGGAACTGCATGAAGAAAGTGTTATTTAAAAATAAGATGGTCTTTTATCACCTGGATTTCCAAGTTTCCATCTATCATCTACTGTTCATTCCCAAGTACGTGATGAAGTTTACAGCCTTACACTGGGAACAACCCTTCCTTCATTGGTTCTTTAAGTTTCATTTATTCACGTCAGCTGAACTCATAAGGGCACAACTGATTGTTTCTAGATCTGTTTCTAGATCTGGGAGCTTGATCCCTGACTCTCCCTACCCACAACAGCCTTTTTTTTTCTAATTTCATACCCAAACCCCACACATTTCTCAAAGCCTTGTCTGGACAAGTTCCTCTGAAGAGAGGATCTGTGATCTCAGAACTCCCATGAGGCTTCCTTGGTTCTACCCTGTAACTCAAATTTCCTTGTCAAATGTTATGCCTTCTCTCTTAAATTATTCTAAATCTCTTGAGGATCAAAATGCTTTTATTATTTTTGTATCCACCATGTACCTGATATGAATGAGTCAACAAACATCTAACTCAATCATCTTTTTTTAACGTTTGAGAATATTCTTTTTTTAGTGGTTCCTTTCATGAGAGATGACAGTAGAATCCATTTTGATATAATTACACAGCATGGATTATATTTTATTCTAATTGGAATCACATTCTTATGGATGTACAAATGGTGGGATTCACTGTGGTGTACTTCTGTTCCTTACTTCTGTGATTCTGATGAAATAAGAATGATAATCCTTCTCCCTCCACCTCCTACACACATCCAAAGCAGACTAGGCAGAGACTAGGACCGAGGCTCCTGGCACTGCCCCTCTTGGTTTAAACTCTCAGTTCCAACACATGCTAGATGTTGGACAAGTTCGTAATGCCTTGGTGGTCACACATGCAAAGCTGAATTAATATTAATCTCAAAGGTTGTTGGGAGGTTTCCTGAGTCATTATGCATAACATGCACATAACAGTGTCCAGCCCACCATAAGCACCACTTATTCGAGTCTAGATAGTGATAACTGTCCTGTTCCCTGTCAGATACAGCTGATCACATCAATCAAATGGGTCATCAGTGTAGGAAGATGACACAGAGGACCACTTCACTCCCACTGGCATTTGAAGCCACTCAAGCTCTAGGCCAGAGAACCAAGCACTCCACGCCTTTTCAGTGGCAGACAAGGCATCCTCCTTCTGAGGAGCTCCAGATACCTTCAGCAAATCTTTGAATCCTATCACTGTGGAAGGAACTCCAGGAACACAAACAGCCTGGCCTCACCAGTAGCTAGGCCCCCATCATGACTGCTAATTGTACCCAACTGAGGCAACAGAGGCCTCTTTATGCAGCACTTCCTCCTTTAGGCAGCACTTCCTGTCAATCAGAGCTGCATCCACCATGGGTCCAGTGACCCCCAGGGTCCAAGCTTCTATGCATGGGAGGGAACATGAAATATTTTAATTCATTAACAACAAGGGTTTGACAATCTAAGGGTGGGGACAAGGAAAAGAAGGGACATTGTGCCTCACCATATCTGAACAGGATAAAAACAGAATCATTAAAAGTGCAGCCAACTCAGTTATTCCAATGCTGATTTTCCAGTTTGTGCTTCTGGCATGCCTGTGGCCAGAGAAGAGATATAGACACTGAAACAGACACTTGCTTTTAATTAACATCTAAAGAAACTCTAGTTAAAGGGTTGGGGTATGACTTGGAATGACTAATTTATTTAACCCCAAAGTCCTTTCTCCTTCCATTAACACAATACCGAAACTTTTTTTTTACTTATTTTTTTTTTTTTTAAGTGCGGGGATCAAACCCAGTCCCCAGGGCCTGTGCATGCTAGGCAGGCACTCTACCATTGAGCTCCATCCCCAGCCCACTAGACCATTTTGTGCACTGGCAGGCAAATGACCAATGAAAAAGGGGAAAGGTGGCAGTCAGCTCATTACAGATGGCAGTGGGGAGCTGCTTTTAATAGCACAGGTACATTTTCTCATCATTTTGTGAGCCTGCTTTCAAAGGCCTATGTTTGCATTGTGCTAGCAAGAAGGGGGCTGCACAGTAAGCCACAAGAAGAGTGGCTGCCAGGTGTATCTCAATACAAGGTGTGCCATCCCTCTTGGTTTGTTCTGCACTGACAAATAACCAGTTTAGAACCATGCTCTAAACTAGCCTGTGCTGTTTAGTCACCTTGCTGCAAGATTTGGATGGGGTTGGTCAGAGAGCTGGAACATAATAAACAAAGGTCACAAGAATTTTCTTGAAGGATAAAATGTATTTAAAAAAAAATAGCACCTAAACCAGGTGTGGTAGCACATGCCTGTGATTCCAGTGGCTCAGGAGGCTGAGAAAGGAGGATTGCAAGTTCTAAGACAGCCTCGGCAACTTAGCAAGACCCTGTCTCAAAATAAAAAATGAAAAAGGGCTGGCTGGGGATATGGCTTAGTGGTTAAGTATCTCTGGGTTCAATCCCTGGTACCAAAAACAAGAACAACAACAACAACAAAATAGCTCCTAAGATTTTTGGAAAGTTGGGTCTCACTAATTAAAAAGGACAAAAAAGAAAAAAAAAGAGAAAAAAATTAAAGACTGATTTTCTTCAATTTATACAACAAGTACATGCAGCTCCTCTGCCTTCTGGTTATTTGTATCTCATGTCTTTTGCTAGAATAAGGAATCCAGAAGACATATGCATGAGTTTGGATTAATAACCTAACCTCATGATGCTTCTGTTTTTACCATCTGTCAAATGGAAATTCAATGTGCTAATACATTTAGCATCTAGCTCAATAAACTTTAGTGTAATGAGTGCTGTAGATTTTTTTTTTCCTCCAAAGTGTCTGGGACAATTAATTTTTTAAAATGAATGATTGTCATGTTTAAATCATACTAAATCCCAGACCACATGTTTTTCCTCAGAGAACTATTCATAATTGAAACATGGATTTAAAGGACTGGACCGTGTGGGAAATCGTCTGGAAAGTAAAGAACAATCTCGTAAGGGGACATATACATCAGTATGCAGGCCAAGTCCCAAGAACATGAAAGGAGGCAAAACTTCAAAATCTTTCAAAATGAGAAGCAAGCATGGTGGTAAGTGGTCAAGCTCTCCTAACTGCAAGGACTCAGTCCCTGGGCCCTTCCCTGGGCCACGCTGTTCCTTGCTGGTGCAACTCTGACTCTATCATCCATATTGCATTTGTGTTATATTCGACGTGCCTTTTGTACCACGCATTCTTGAATTTGCTTCCCACACCAATGCATCCAAATCCCCTTTGCTATTCCTTCCACCTCCCCATAGCCTCTCTCCCTTCCTCCCTCTCTCAGGACTCATTTCCCATTAGTCTCCCTGACACTGCCAGCAGACCATTCCAAATCCTCCTCTGCCCAGAGACAAAGGCTGCACAGATGTGAGGAGAGCTGGCACTGGGAATGCTAACAGCACTGTCATCCCGGCCCAGCAGGAAAGTGGTCCTTTCTCTCTGGGACCAGAGGCAGAAAAGGGGGGGGGTGTTAAAAGAAAAAAAAGAAAAAAGAAAGATTGAAGGCAGAAAAAGARGGAAGACAAAATAAGCCATTGAAATCAAAAAGGAAATGCATGAGTGAGATTTCTATCAGGAAAAACAGTGGGAGGCCATGGGGTAGGCCTGGGGAGAGTAAAAACAAAAGAGCCAAATGCATAGGGCGTAGTGGAACAAAACAACACAAAAGTCTCTTGGAGGGGTAAACTAGGGGGAGGGAGCCCGCAAAAATGATGGCTGAAAGGAGCTGAAAAGTGGGAACCACCATGGGGAATCTCAGCATCCTTAGCCTCTGCCCTGTCTCTGGAATGGTTAGCTCTCTTCCTCCTGGGTTCTCTTTTCAACCCTCTAAATGCCCAGATTCCAGTTTCTCATAAAGGAAAGCTGCGCGCTGTATGTGTGAGAGAAGAAGGCCAAAGGAAGAGGCCCCCTGTGGCTTTTTCAGAACAAACCACACATCTCACTTCCTGGGGTCCTCCCTCAGCCAGTTTGAAAGAGCCTTAGAAGAGAAATACACTGTGGATCCTCCTGTCAGGGAAGACAACCATCTCCCACGACTCTTGTTCAGCAGGTGTTTTCTTGATCCTGAACCACACTCCTGACCCTAAATGCCCACTGAAGAAGCAGGCACAGCAGAGGGGGAGGAGCTTACAGCAGTAAGGATGCCCCAGCCTTGTACAAGCTGAGGGCCACACGAGTGTCACTTATGAACCTTGAAAGGGACCCACTGAATCCACGGGAAGCAAAGGCACCTTTTGTCAGGTCTTTCAACATATTTTGGATTTATAATATCTGAAGCTGCAGGAAAGACATGGGCCAGCATGGACCAAATTGTAAAAAATAAAAAGAGATCCAGAGATTTGCTGCCTTCAGGAACTAGGAGGAGTGTGTTCTCTGGATCTTTGGCATGGCATAAAGATTCCATTTATTTATTTATTTATTTATTTATTTATTTATTTATTTATTTACATGGATTCAAACTGATCAGACTTACCTACTGCAAATTTGTTGCTTATTTTTAAATATGATACCATAGTCTGGTCAACAATCCTAAATGGCTTCTGGAAGCCCTTTAGAAAAGGCACTGCCACTTTGGTTAGGCCAGGGTAATTCCAAAGTTATCATCAGTACTAAGGAAAGACTATTTCAATCAGCAGAGATCCCATTAAAAGTGATTACAGAGTAGAGATAGGGTAAGGTTTTCATTTACTTGTTCCTGATTTCAAGAACGGGATAATTTAAAGGGGCTTCTATAATTTAAAAGAGATGAATGGTTCTGAGAAGGTAGTATTCAATTTCAAAATGCACATTGTATCAGCAATAAAAGATGTTAAAAAATGAGCATTTAGCTCTTGCAGAACCAGATGAATTTGACTACCAAAAGATTTCACATTCAAAATTTTAAAAAAATTTTCACATTCCTATTCTTAAGTGAATAGAAATGATGAAATGGATGATTTTTTAAAAATTGGTAATGTGTATCAGATTGATAAAAACGCATTTCAAAAAAGATCAATTGCAAATGAATTTCCATTACTTGACTATAATAGTAAAGTTTAAAAATGCCATCTACCAAAAATGTAGTGATTCTTGGACTGCCCACTGGAAGATTTAAGTTCAATCAGAAGAGATCTATTTACTTCACTATCTCCAGTCTTTCTCCTGGGCATCTCCTGACCCACTGGAGATTCTGATGGGTCAGGAAATATCTGAGACCTCTGGAACTCTTTCCTGTGAATGAAGTTAGATAATGACTGGGAATCTTGAGTCTTTTTTCTTTTTCTCTTGAGCATAAACATTAAACCAATTAACAAACTCTAACCAAAGCACTAATCTGCTACTATCTATAATCTGAATTTGGGTGCCAATTAAGTAGGCCACATGTTCACTATCAGCTCTCAAAGTCTTCCAGGATCTCAGTGGACCTTAGGTCCTCAGACACATTGAGCTTCCACATCTTCTCCTTTCAATTAGCCTAGCCAAGCAGACCCCACCCACAACACCCTGCCCACCCCCAACTCCCCCTTTTTCCTGTTCTTTATTTCTAGAAATACTGTAAACATGAGAAACTAACATAACAATAGAGACTTGACATTCACTGTCTTTATTAATGCTTCTAACAGGCTCTTAAGAGACAGGTGCTCTAGGACAAATCCAGCAGAGGATCTAACACCAAGTTATTCCTCAAAATCCCAGTTAGAAAATGTTCTGGGAGGTGAGTATGGCTGGCCACAGAGGACAAAGGAGTACCAGGCGTTTCAAGGAAAATAAAGCATGATTTAAAAAGATGAATGGGATTCCAACAGAAGAAACTGAGAAACTACAAAGATTTTTTTAAAAAAATCAGAGTCATAAATCCTCAGAATGATCAACTACAAATATGGATTAGGTAGCTGATCCCAATCAGTTAATTTACAAAAAAAAAGTTTTTAGAAAAATAAAACACATTATGCCAGACTGCATTTAATTTTGTCCTTTACTTTTTAAAAATTAATGATCCAATAATAGCCTATATGGGGCTCCATATGATGATGGCTTCTATTAATTGGTTGGTTAGGATGACCCACAACTATCAGTGATCTGTAAGCCTGGCTGCTTCAAATAAACTGGGAGAGTCAGTTAAAATGGGATTAGCAGTCTTTCTCCCATTGTGAAGACAGCCTGGGTGAATGCCAATTTAGAAGATGACTCTACTTCATGCAGGAGTGGTCTTTGGTAAGTTCTTGTGCCTACTCACCATGGTCCAGGATATATTTCACAATCTCCCCGTTGCCGGTTTTGGCTGCGTAGTGAAGCAGTGAACAGTGATCTGGTCCCTGAATTAGCAGACTGCCTCCATTTTTATAGCTTTCTATTAGCTGAAAGGGAGAAGCATGGAAAGAGGCTCAGGTAGAATCCAGAACAAGAACAGCTAAGTCCTCATAAAATAAGACTCACGTAGCAACCTGCAAATGTTTCTAGCCTCAGAGGACATAGAAAAAAGTCAAAGAGATGAAGTGGATTTTTGGACTGTGATATTACTCACATAGATGGTTGGTGTCTCTCCTGGCTCTGGTGAAGGTCTGTGGTACTCAATGGTCCAAGGAAACTGAAACTTTCTCAATTACTGTTCTCCTTCCTCTTCTAAGCTCTAGTCTCTGTCCCATGGGAGTGAGGGGTAAAGACAGCAAAAACTTCCCTTCCCTAGGTTGGCTCAGCACTCTTTCAAGGGAGAGAATAGTTATTGCTATAAGCAGACAGAGAGCATGGCTGATAGCTAAGCTGCTTTCCTGTGTCCTTTACCTTTTCTTCAATCTAAAGAACCTGACTACCAAATAGAAGAGCTGCTTCTCATTTTCCTGAAGACAAACATTTACACGCACACATGCATACACCACTGTGTATGGCTCCCTTGCTCATCCAGACCTGCAGCCTGGCCTGATGCCTTCTGAGGATCATCCAGTACACACCCAAAAAGGCTAGAGATGATCCATGGGATGAAAACTGAAATGATGAAGAGAAGGATGTATTTATTTCTGTGGGAGGAAAGACTGGGAGTGGGGGGAAACAATTTGGCCGCCTGAGAGTAAGGTGGCTACAGGAGGAGGTAGTCTAGGTTCATGAAGGATAGAACACTGTAGAAAGTGCAAATAGGGTCCTGTTCTCCAAATGGCAGCATATTTGAACAAGAAGAGCTTTCTTGACATTTCTAAAGGGCAATTAGAAGGTCATAAGCAGGGAATACAGAAACAAAGCTGAACGTGACTCAGTCAATGGTCTACAGGCCTTTCAGGCAACTCAGAAGACAGAGGTGTAAAGAATTATAGCGATAGAGGGGGATACTATGAGGATAGCAGAGGCCCACCAGGTGACCACAAAGCACTGGATACAAAAGGAGCCCTGCAATCCTGCCTAGAAAATAGATGAAGAAGAATAGCTGAATGGAGGCCAAGGACTCATGGGAATCTCCATCCCTAAACTGTAGGGCAAGAGGATGGGGAGAAGTAGCCAACATTCCTCTCATGACCCGACAGAATCCTGCTCTGCCCAACTACAATGGCACCCTTTCCTTGGGGACAGATCCAGAAAGGATGGATGCAGTACAGACCCAACCAGATCCAGTTGCCCAGCAGCCTTGACCCTGTCTTTCAAAGGGCTTTTAGACACTGGGACTCTTTAGTGAGCCGTGGGCATCCTATGCAGCCCAGCTGTTCAGGAGCTGTATGACAGCCCTCCCCCTGAGCGGCTCCTGGGATCTTCTCTTCCCTAGTCCTTCTCTCCTTCTCTCTCCTAAAAATATGCACATACACACAACAACCAGTTTAATACTTAATTTGTACTGTACTTTCTATGCATAAGAGAGAAACAGAAAATTGAGAAGAATGAGAAAAAAGGTACAAAAGAAAAAGACTGAAAAAGAAAAAAAAAAAACTTCAGCCACTGTATTTCATCTCTCTGTAAATAAGTTGTTATTAGGTTACTTTTTAGCCATCTAGGACATCATTATAATGTAGAATGCAGAAAGACATCCAGCTGGACATAGTGATTTTCTATATTTCAAATTACTCTCTGCTAATTACTGAAAATGTGTGGTGATATCCAAGGACCTGGAATGTTGGCTGCCTACACTAAAAGCACACAGAAAATCAAATGAAAGGGTTTCAGATGTACAGTGCTTTGCAAAATGTCCCGGCCGAGAGGTTCTCCAGGGGCGAGGATGCGCCTTGCTCTCCTCTTTACTTCCCACAGGGCCTACCGGAAGTCCTTGCAGGAGCATAGGATGGTGCTGGTCCACTGCTGGGAAAGGCAATGAACGCACAGGTACACTGCTCAGGGGTGCACTTCTCCCCTGGGTACCCATGGAGTGACACTATGATCTGGACAACAGCACAGGTAATACAATTTTCATAATTATGTGCCCACACATGGCAATTGGCCAATAGGTTTACAACCTTCTATTACTCTGCTAGTAACCTGTTGATGTAAAAATGTCATACAGGTAGGCCTTGATTTATCTGATATAAGTACTTTAAAAAAAATCATGGTGCTTCTCAGTTTTCTTCTAAGGCATATGGGTAGTCAATCTGACCTGGAACTTTCCTACTCTGTTGATGGGTAAGGCACAGCCTCTACCCGAGGCAGATGCTACTACATACAGCAGGTCAGTGCTGCTGATGTTACACAGGGACATATGATATGGGTCCCCATGCCTGAAAATGATATGAGACCAGATAGACATTTTAGAACACTCATAGACTACATTATACAAGACATGTTTTTATCCCCACCATTTTTAGCTGTTAAAAAAAATGATAAACACTGTAAAATGAGTAAAATAGCTAACATTTTTGAGCCCTTTCTATATAATACAGACCATCATGACAATATCACTTGATAACATTCAATCCTCATAGCAAACCAAAAAAAGGGGCCATATTATTGTCCTGTTTTATGGATGAAGAAATTGAGGCACAGAGGGAATTCAATAATGGCTCAAAACCCCACGAGTAATGAACAGTAGGGCCAAGATCTGAACTCAGGCAGGCAGCCTGACTTCGGAATTTATAGTCCCTCCCAAGGCAGCGGTGACCATTTCCTTCCTGAGAACTAAATTCACCAGAAAAAAAATGGGCACAAATAAGATGTTCAAAATGGACCAGTCGATCTTTAGGCTAAGTATGATCCACAAAGCATCAAACTATAACAATGGAAGATGTGAGTGTCACAGGGGTCACTCCCAGAGAATGCATTTGTGGGTATTGCCCAGGTTATTCTTTACAACGTATCCATTTCAATATCTGTCTGAAAAGAAATCCTTTACTCTCTCTAATGTCGGCTTCTACAGAGCAGGAACTCTGGGCACTGTGGCCCTGTCCCTGGGTGTAGGGTTCATTGTAATGAATTCAGGCAAATCCCAGGGCATTTTCCCACAGACCCTCTGCTGTTGGGAATGAAGAGAGACTATGAGGGCTACCCCCTCTCTCTGTGCTCTGTTCTCCACAATATCCTTCCTCCTCCTCAGCCAATGCAGGCAGCGGGGAGATAATCCATAAGCAGGATCTTGAAAATTTGGTGAACAATATCATTTTTTTGAAAATTCTTAATGAATCACCTAATTTGCAAAGAGAGATGTCTTACCTTCATAAGATCACCAGCTATTACTGCCTGCAAAATTGCTGTGAAAGACAAAACAGAGATGTCCATTAGTAGAAGGCCCTCTCTTTAAAATCCTACAGAAGGTTGGGTGCCTATTTTGAAAGGGCGGTCTCTGGTAGTCTATGGGGAGAACCTAGAGAAGGAGAAGCATCCCGAAGGCTGAGACTTAGTCAAACAGAGGAAGGTCCTCTCTTTCAGCCCTTCCCTGCCCAGGCACCCATCCCATGCATCATTCTAGAGCCCTTAGGAGTCCCGCTCCAGTCCTGGTCCAGCAAAGATGGCATGAAATTTAGAGTTGCACGGACTGGATTCAAATCTTAGCTCTGACACCAAGGAGCTGCGGAACAGTGGGTGAATTATTTTGACCACCTGAGCCTCAGTTTCCACAAATGCAAAGGAGAAAGTCTTAACTTTATGGGAGGCTAAAAGGATTCATGAAGCCCTACTAACTAGCCACAGGTGCCGAGGAAGTGTCTAATCATGACTGTGGCTGGTCCCTTATTTCTAGTTCCTTCTCCTTAGCTCTTTTGAAGTTGAAGTAATCACCTGTCATTTTGATTGTATATTTCATAATGATAAAAAACTCACTGCTATAGATAGTAAGATGATTAGAGGAAACCATTCTATTTTAATTGTGTCTAATGATTTATGCACATCATGTGGGGTATGGAAAGGAAATAAGAAAACATGATTGACAAAAGCAGAAAACTATATGTGTGTCTGATGATAATTATCATTCTTAAAAAGAAACTATTTACACCAGGATGGATATGGTCCTTTTGGATAAATAATCTATCAATTATGAAACTACTAAAAAGATAGATTTTCAGGTTTTGAAGTCACAAAATTTTATAAGAAAAATAATGTAAATTTATTTTGCAAAGTGATATTTTATTCTTCTTGCTTGAGTGATTTCTCAGGTAGAGTTAACCAAAAGTGAAGTACTATGCAACAAAGTACATGAAGCCGTGGCTGCTGCTGAGCAAAGTCCGAGGCTTTTCTATGGCTCACTATCGACTCCTGGGTGAGTAGATGCAAAGGGCCATGTGAAACTCACTCAGGGGCACAGGACTGAGCATCTGTCTTTAGTGGAAGCCTTGATAAATTTGGTGATGAGGAGGGCAAGTTGAAAATAGATAGAAGGAGGATGCATGGAAGACAATGGAAAACCCATCTGAAACCATCTGAGGGTTTCTTTCCATATTCCTATAAATTCAGCACCTGGCAGATGTGAACCAATTAGCTGCTGAATTGACTGAAAAGAAAGCAAAGAAAGGAAAGAAGTGGGAAGGGAGAGATGTGAAAATAATACAGAAGGAATAAGATAGGTCAAAAGAACTTGGGGCTGGGATTGTGGCTCAGCAGTAGAGTGCTCTCCTAGCATGGGCAGGACCCGGGTTCGATTCTTAGCACCACATAAAAATAAAGGCATTGTGTTGTGTCCATCTACAAAAAAGATTTAAAAAAGAAAAAAGAACCTAAGAAACATCCTGTCTCACTCTTTGTTTTATAAGTGGGGACATTGTCAATCTGAAGTTAAGTGACTCTCTTGGGGCACAGAGCAAGTAGAGGCCTAGTCAGCATCACCAAGCAGGCCCCTGTCCAGTGCCCCATGAAACTCACTGTGCACAGAGCCCTGCTAGTCTCTGCGGAAGGTATGTGGAAGATGGCAGAAAATGCTGCTGTGAGGTTTGTAGCATTGTGGGGAAAAGTGCTTGACTCAGGTCTAATTCTGACTCTGTAATTTACTGGGCCCATAAATTTAAGAAGTGATTCAGTCTCTGAGCCAATTTTTTCATTAACAGGTATATTGCTCACCTCCCTACCAAGGATCAAAGTTTAAAAAGTGCTTTGTGGGATGGTTGTATAGACAGAAGACACGATTCTCAGTACTGCTGTGACTGCACCCAAGTACATGGAAAAAGACATGGACATTTTAGAAGGAGCCTTCCATCAAGGTAAAGTTGGCACGTGAAGTTGGGCAGACGTAACTCTGTTAACACAGCACCAGGCAGAGGACAAGCACAGATAGAGGAGCCGGGATGGAGCTTAACTTCAAGACATAAAGACTACATCCGAGCTCGGGGAAGAAGGGTGGGGGAGAGTGTTAGCAGTCATAGATCTGGGGGAACAAATCAGTTGGACCTTCAGGCTGCAGGATGTTCTCTTGGTTGCAGGAGAATATTCAGAGTGTGAAGGAAATAAAGGCAGGGAAATGGCACAATGTACCGCCCTGTAACTCACAAAGCAGCATAGCCTATGTCTTCAAGGTCGTATCAAACCCTTTGTTAGAATTTAAAAGTTCAAAAAAAGATGGAGACAGAAAAATAGAGAAAGAAGAAAAGAAAAAATGAATTTATTAAAGCACTTGCATAATAAAATATACAGCATGTAAATAATCAATTGAAGATCATGAAAGAATCCCTTGGGCAAAGACTATTTATGGATCACAATCAATCAATCAATCAATCAATCAATAATAGAGGCTAGGTTAAAACTTACTAGCTAGTGGTGTAGTTAAAAAAAAATTCTTGGAGGAAGTTAGTTTAGGCCAATTTGGTCACGATAAATTCAAATAATTAACAAAGAAGATTTGGAACCCTTGCAAAGGATATGAACAAAGCCATGATAGTTAAAAGATGTGGTTCTTGAAGGAAACTGCAAAGAGTTCCATATTGTCACATCAAAAGTGGTCTCAGGTCATGTGCTGCAGAGTCTCACAGGAGTCACTCCAATGAACACCACTATGCCAAGATGAGGCACCCGGATTATACCCTGCAGGTGATGGGAAGCTATGGAGTTAAATGCAAATCTGGGGAGCATATAAATGTCCTTACACAGGCCAGTTTGATTCTATTTCTCTCCTCCTGAAAACAGTTATGACCTGCTCTTAGCTCTTTCCCCCAGATTGCCTGCAGTGGAGCCTCTTTCTACTTCTACCCCAGAACATTCACAAGCATTGTTATTTATGCTTGCTGGTGTCCAACAGCCTCCCAGTTTGATGTCCCCATGAATACGCGGAGAATCATATAACAGAATCATAACCACAAATAATCTCCATTGTACTGAATATGGAAAGCATGAATATTTATTTTTAAGTCAAGCAATATACCCAAGGGTAGCTATTATGCAAACATTATTAGGAACAAGGCTCACTTCTCTCTCCTGATTAATGTCTTTTCCTATGAACACTGTTGTTGAAGATCTTCTCTGCATAAAGAGAACCTGAATCCATTAGTATTCAATTCCAAATAATAACCTTCTGAAAGATCAAGCTTGAAAACAAATAATGAGTTGTTATGATCACAGTATTATTCTATATTTCTTGAGCTCTAAGCTTTCCTTTTTTCTTTTTCAAAACTCCTTCAACTAAAGAAACCATGCTTCAAACTTCCAGAAGTAAGAGAAGTCAAACTGTTAACAAGATGTAAAGGTTATTGAATAGATGAATAATAAGTTTCCTGGAAAATGAAATCACATTATTTCTTCCTTTGCAGGAAGACAGGCGTGTGAGGGGGTAGAGAACTAGGGCATTTGTCATTTTTAGGGGTTGGAAGTTTCATCATTAGTCGATATGCAGTGGTTCATTTTTTCCTTTAGTGCTATGACTTTCAATAAATTGCTGTCCACTGTGCACCCCGGGACAGGACAGAACGCTGGGGAACCAGGGGCAACTGCCTGCCTTCCCTCTCCCAGACCCTCCTTGCTAAAGCCTGGATTCCTAAGAGTCTGGATGTGTTCAGACCTGGTTTATGGAAGGAAAAGATGGCTTCCATCGCACAGAACCAAGAAAGGGAGAAGAGAACTTCTATGACTTCAGGGTGTATATCCTTCTAAAATTCATGTTGAAACTTCATCCTCATTGCTGAGAGCCAATTAGGAGGTGGGGCCTTTGAGGAAGTGATTATATTATGATTAATCATGTTAGTAACCTAATTACTTGTGACAGAGATTAATGCCCTTCTGAAAGAGACTTCAGAGCACTGCCTGGCCCTTCCATCTTCTCCACCTTGTGAAGACACAGCATTTCCCCTCTTTACTTTGCTACCATGAATGCACCGAGAAGGTGCCATCTTGGAATCAGAGAAAGCCTTTGTGAGATACTGAATCCACTGGCACCATGATATTGGACTTTGCAAGTTCAATGATTTATATTTAATATCCATTATCTATTATTTATACATCATCTAATCTATGGTATGTAGTTAGTAGCAGGAATGGATTTAGAGTCCTTGTTTGTCTCAGGGCAGCCCTATCCAAGGTGGTGGGGATACAGATGCACAAAAAGTAAAGTCCACTCTCTGATGAAGCTGATGTTTTGGCAAAAAGTAAAAAAAAAAAAAATAAGATCTGACTTTATAATAAGGAAGGAATATATTTTAATAGAGGATGGATTCCGATGGCTTGGATTACAGTCTTTAGAGCATCATTAGCTAAGGAAGACCATGGGCAAGTCAGATTACTAAGCTTCAGTTATCTCTTGGAAAAAACGAAGAGTAAACAATTTATGGTTTTAAGCACCAACACTTCTTGTTCCAACAGAGAAAGTGAATATTCAGCCTGGCCACTGCAAATGCTGCCCTCACAATTTTCTTGACCTGGTCATCATCACAGATGATGTCTCTTCAGAACCCTGCCCAAAACGCAGTCCTTATCATCACAGTCCTCAGACTTTCCCCCTCTCCATCAGTGTTGCTTCCTGCTTGGCCACCAGGCAGCTCATACCTTCAGCCACCCAAGAGCCCACTTCTCTCAGATCCATATGTCCACACAGCCTTTCCTGTCTTCACCTCACCAGGGGCACGCTGTCCAATTCCTCTACTGTGTGAGCAGTCAGCCATGCTACATGTGCAACAACCGGTGAAGGCTTAGCTCACAAAGACGTGGAATTCAGTATGATCATTAAACACAGCAAAAGYCATCTAACACTCACTCAATGGTGCAGATAGCCACTGTGAATTATGCTAATGAGGCACAAATGGGAAGCAGCCCAACAAAATGACAGTAATTAATATTATTT